TATGTATATATATATATGTGCAAGTGGAGCAACTTGATAACTTGATTGTTCTAAGAGAGGGGAGCAGCCAGTGCCTCAATCGCCAGGGAGACTAATAGGCTATTAGAAAATCTTTTGGTTTTGCATTTAAGCTATGAATAATTACTTCCATTACATAGACTACTAACCTACTTACAATAAAGTGATAATAAATAAGAACATATTATGGCAAATAGGAACAAATATAGTGCATAAAATATAGATTTCAAGGATTATGTTAATTTTTTCAGCCACTTTGTTTTTATGTTGTTTCCTTATTTCTCATTCTTTTACAGTTATATTTTTTAAACACAATGCATGAACTTACCATCGTTAGCATCACCAATTCTTTGTTCTGAAATAGCTTTCTCAATCTTTGCCCTAAGTTCGATTTCAACACCAAAGACGCCAGAAGTACCGTTATCGACAAGTATGAAATGTGTGTGGTTTGGATCAAGCTTTACATTTCCATTAACATCCATGTGATAAATTACTGGATGTTTTTTCTTTTTTGTAATGATTTGCAAAATGAAGAAAAGACAGGTAATAACTGTAGGCCTAAATTTCAAAATCAATGTCATTTTATGTAAAATTGTGCATGAAAATATAATTTTTATGTAGGTCTATAATTTTATTGGATTCACTTGGCCAGACTGTTTAGAGCCGTAGTACATGTGATACTTGGTGAAAAACTTTAATAGTTTTCAAATTCTCAGTTATTTCTGTTCCTAATATATGTTTGGTTTTATTAATGATCATGATAAATTATAGTAATAAAATTGTAATACATTATATTTCAGTAAATCACTACCAGGCGATAATGAACACCATCTGCATATCCGAACGTCCTGTGATGACACTTTCCAATAACAAGTTTACAAATTAAAGTAGGAGAAAATAATGTGTACAAGTTGGATGTTCTCTTGAATTCCCAGTTTTATGAAGAAAGCAAGACATGATCTTATTACAAAATATAGTGTTAAATAAGTCCTTAGTTTATGTAATGGTGATCAGCTGATATTTGACTGTGTGAACATGTTATTTTTGATTTTGTACTGAAAACCTAGAAAGTAATAAACCTACAATAACTTTCCAAAAAAGAAAAAAATGAAATGAGTTTATAAATTTAATAATATTATATAGATGATTATTCGTTTTACCAGGGAACAGTCATCATTATTTTTGCCTTTGGTTAGTTTTTCTTTCTGATCAATCACACCCCATGATGCTATTCCAATGGCCACAACATTATTCCGACTCAAAGTTCCGCTTGCTTCCACTTGCTCTCGCACGGCATCTCCCACATATTTCATGACGCCTGCATGGGTGCCTCCGGTAATGATCCATGCTCCTGGTAATGAAGAATAAAATATTTGCAAATATAAGCATGAGATTTTGGTTCAAAATCACCAAGATCCAGATCCAAAAATGCAGCTTTGTACATATTCGTTTACATTTTTGTGGAGAAAAAAGTCATGGAATATATCTTAAAATGAAATTTTAAGATATATTAAAAAAAATAGATTGTTAAAAAACATCTAATCATCTGTGAAAATGAGATAAGTACAAGACTTGTAGAAACGACTTCAAGAAGGTCTAATGAAAATCTTACTCAAGCTACATTCATGAAATGGCCATCAATTGTAAAAACCATGCTGGATTCCTAAATGGTAATTCATACGTAGTTCTAGAGCTGATAGTGGTGTACATAGTTAAACTTAGTTACTGATGCAAGTGTTATTGCTAATGAGTTCAATGATTTTTAAAAATATCAAACATATTTCTTTCTGATGAATTTGACATTAATGTACTTCATAATGTACTTAAGCATAATGATGGAGTTCTTGAAACACTTCTTCTTCTTCTTTAGGTACCCTGTCTGGAACAGACATTGGCGATCATGGTTCTCCACTCAAATCTGTCCTCAGCTAACCTTAGAAGGTCATTGTTGTTGCCGTTTTTGGTTAACCATGAGTTTAAACTTCCAATAAAACTAATTCTTTGTCTACCCCTGTTGCGTCTCCCCTCAATCTTCCCCGTGATAGATAGATATTCCAGACCCTTGTGACGGCAGACGTGTCCTAAAAACTGTAGCTGTCTCCGTCTTATAATCATCCAAGTGCAGTGGTCTACAAAGGAATCAGCATATCATATTAATATACTAATCATACTAAAAACTTAGCTGTCCAATTCACGTTGAAATCTTTGTTCCCCCAGATTCGCAGTAAACATATCAGGATTATGTCCGATAACATGACTGTAGTCACCGAGTTAGCAGAAAACAGTAAACAAGATAGGCATAGTAATGTGATAGTCTGTGTTCGTGTTTTTGAAGCTTTTAATTCCTTATAAAAAAACACATGGGCCTATATTGGGGTTAGCACTGTACATAGATGGATTAAGTCATTTCTCAATCGAGTTGGTATTGACACCAATGAATTCACTTTACGCAGGCAGCCAGTGTTAGCATGGAGGATGGTGTTAGCAAGGCCAGTAAGTCGATTCTGATCGACATCATTCTCGCGCATGTGGGATGGCCTTCGAACTCAGTTTTCAGGAAGTTTTATAATACACCAATTGTGGCTAAAAATGTCTTCGACAGTGCGGTTTTAGAATAAAGTTTCAAAATATTGTTGACATATGTTTTGTCTTTGTATATTGTGTTCACAATTGCTTTAAAGTCTCACGTTGGAATGAAGTATTATCTGTTTCTTTCCTCCATGGCCTGTAGTAGCGTCACTGCTGATTTGGTAGAACTGAAAATTAAAAAAGCCTTACCTGTAAAGTGAAGTTTGATGGGAATTATACACTACCTGTGCTGAGTGCCGCTTTAATTAGTCCTTTCCTAAACACTTCTCGCAACCTAGAGTTCATGCGGAAGTTTTTGGCACCACCAGTCACGGAGATGAGAAGTTTAGGTACCCCAAGCTTCCAGTCGTCCCTTAGAAGTTCAACAACTTTGTTGGGGTTTGTATCATGTTCCAATCGTACATACTACAGTAGATATACACAATTGTTATTAGATATGAATATTAGTATTTACTGTATATCATTATAAGAACTGATTTTATATATTTTATTATTATTATAAAAAATAAAAAAGCAGCTTTTATGACAAAATAACAGTAAAAAAATATAATTATAATCATCATCATCATCATCATCATCGCCAATATCACCATATCAAATCAAAACATTTACCTTGGTTTAGTTATCAACAGCCATTAAATGATATAATTTTAATAGATGAGCTGACTTTACTTATAGCTGGTCTAAAAGCCTTGCTAATGCATAGGTATTTCAGGTTCAAGCATCTAGCGTATTGATATCGAATAATCAAGAAGTCATGATTATTTTAATTCTCCCTTAACGAACCCAGACAACACTAAAAAATTTTGGTCGTATGTTAGATCAAACTTGAAGCAAAAATGTCTTCAGTGCACAAGCTTTGAAAACTCATTTGCTATAGCAAAACTCAATTCTAGAATAAATAAGTGAGTAGCACATAACATGCATTGAAATTTCAAAAATTTTGGCAAAACGTGGAGACACCTGCCCACACCGCTCTTCCATCCTTACTGGATCCGGCATGCCAGTTGATCCCACGTGTTTACGTAAATTTGAGGTGTTGATTGGTGGAGCTGGCTTTACCGTAAATTTAAACTTCAGTGTCGCTATGATAATGCACTATTGGCGAAGTATAGGCATATTGAGAAAGGGACCTAGCCGTAGCCTATAACTACTGTATGTCCGTGCTAGGCTAGCTGGCCTAGCCCTAGCCGAAATAAGTAGGCCTAACTTATATCATGCTTTGTGGCAAGGTGTACGTTTATTTTTACCTTGATCAATTTCTAAAACATGCCATTTATTGCTGATGTTTTTAAGGCATATAAGACACAGTAATAGTATATTCAGTTCAGGTGTAGTGGCATACATGCTGCTCATATATTTTGTTGACGTGAGGCGTGACAGTTCTTTTACGGTCTGACGCGATATTCCTTAAATCTGAGCACTGCGGTACAGATTAACAGAGGAGATCTATTGACTTATGTGACATATAGTGATTCATGAAACATGGCGAAACTGGTACTGATTTTCGGTGGTTTTTGACTGTTTTTTGCGTTGTTATCCAATACTCAGCCTTGAAGAGTACCGGCATGTGGTCATGACATACAGAAACCCCAGTGTATGAGATATGAGCACATTTCTGCCAGCGATTTCAGAGGAGATATGTGAAGTTACGCAGTGGCTATTAGCAAAAATAATATATAGATCCTCTTCCAATATTGTAGTTCTGAATATTAATTCCATCCAAGTTCGTCCATCGGACGTCATGTTAAGAATTAAAGCCTGACCGACTGAAAGCGGCTGGTCGATAAAATTATGTATTCGTTGTTAGCAGACATTTATAATGGTAGTCTATCTACTGGGGAATTTCCTTTGTTGTGAAACTGGCAATTCTCCAGTTCACAAGAATAAGAAAAGCGATTTGAAGATCTATAGACCAGTCGCACTGACATTATTTTGTAAAATTTTAGAAGGAATCTGCGATCCAACCAAAATGAAAATGGTTTGACGTACGATTGTCAGCATGGTTTTATACCTGGAAAGTCATGTTCTTCTTTACCATCGGAAGCAACCACTAACTGGATTTCTTCGCTGGAAGGTGTTTTGCGAATTGATGTTGTGGCTGTCGATTTGACTGTATTTCACACGGGACATTAGAGAGACGTTATGTAGTAACTGGGTCATTATTAAATTGGATAAATTCTTTTCTTACTGAGCGTAGACAAAGGGTCATCTTCAATGCAGAGGTCTTGGATTGGTGTAATGTAATTTCTGGCATCCCTCAAGGGACACCTATGTCAACGACCTGCATTTTCACCTTGATTCGAGGCCTTTCCACTATGCGGATGAAACATATGTCTCCAGGTGTGTTTATACCAATAACAAGTAATTTTACAAAACGATGGTCTAATTTTTCGTTGGTCTCTGACATTAAATTAAGATAAATGTAACGTAATGAGTATTCTCTTAAAAGATCAAGCATTGTTCCTTCTTATACTCTTGATGGGCATGTTTTGGAAAATATTGACGACCTAAAGCTCTATGAGTGACAGTGAGTGACAACATGTCCTGGGAAAGGCAGGTTAAGGAGGTAACTTTAAAGAGCAATAAAATGATGGGATTTATTCGGTCTATTGCTAGTGGTGTCCTCCCCATATACAATATTGCTGCCACGTTTAGTATCCGTTTCGTATAGGTCAACAAAATCAAATTGAGAAAATACGGAGACAGGCTACTAGGATTATTTTACATCAGAAATCCCTGAAACAGATATCCGAGAAGACTAGAAACTTTGAATTTAAATTTAAAGGCAATCACTTCACTTCGACACTTTTTTACAGTTTTAAATTTTTTTTTTACAATTTCAAATGTTTGTGTTATTTTTGCCTTCTTTTATTTTCTTGAATTGGTTTATGTGTTTTTAGTACGGAATAGCACGTCCTTTGGATGATATGATTGTGGCTCTGCCGCTTTTGTTTAAATTCCTTAGCGCTAATTTGGGTGTTCTTGGTACTTATTCTTCTTTTGTAATGTACTTTGTATTTTTTTATTGCCAAAATGAATAAAATCAAAATAGGTAAATGGGGGCAATCAGAAACTAAGTAGAGAAATGAGGCGATATAAGATGATTTCTAACTACGGTGTGCTTTTTTTTGTTTGGTCATCAAATTTCCATAAGGAGAGGAGCGCTTTTGTGTTCGGAGACTTTTCTTATGAATTAGATATGTCAGTGTCCAGATGAGAGCTTTAGCATTTTTCTATTCCAGGGAAAATTATTAAGGAAAAACTGTAAGTCAATACTTTGTTGCTTTTGGATATTTTGTAGTTTCTGTATTTTTTTTTAATGATTTATTAATGTGTTTACTGTAAAATAGGTTATAATGGTGTAGCTATATGATGCTTTTAATTGATCCAATTATTTTACACTAATAAATCTGATTTGTGTTTTTGTAATACTCCTAATATTTTATTACTGTATTGATTATATTATTTGTACTATATTTGTTATTAAACTAAGCTGTTATGAATAAAATAATGAAATGAAAACAAAAATAATAATTAGAATAATTTGTAAAACAAACCTTTTTTGTGGGGGGAGTTGCAGAACTACCAATAGCTCCTACAAATATAACTTCTCCATAAGCAGTAGGCCTGTTCTGCTACCAATAGCCGTAACAGAGAATTTGAAGATAAAAAAATATGTAGGCATAATAATCATAGAAGAAAAGCACTGAGCGCAAAAGTACTGCAGAAGAAAATACGTGGTACTGTAATAATATAAGTATCGTGTCCTTCCTCCTGTCGCTTCTTACCAGAAATAATGTTACTTACTTACTTACTTGATACTTGATATAAGTGAAAAAAGTTAGGCGGTGTTGCTGCTCTTTGCTGGAGTATTAGTTGATGCAGGCAAATATGGGTATATATAGAAGCAGTGGCAGATCTGGTGGGGGGGGGTCACAGATAATGGGGAACGTCCCTCCTCCCACACCCACCTATTTTGCAGGGGGTTGACCCCCTCATCATTTGTAAGCAATGTAATATTTAAAGTCAAGAAGATGCCTGGCACTTGTTGAATGAACTGCATATGACCAGCTTTTAACGAAAGAGCACTGTGCAGCCAGAGTACATAGTATAATTAAGAAGTATGAGTACAAGGCAGAGGTGGCCCCAGTGGGGGGATGTGTGGGCCAGCGGCCCACAGTCAGGGAGAGCTAAGGTCTTCGGAGGCGATGCACGGTACTGGATATGTGCTGTAACCTTATGCATTACATTATTAATATGCATACAGTAGGTCGAAGAAGCCTAGTGTGATTTGTGTTTTTGCTACGTTAAACATGTATGATATATGAGTGAAATAAAAGATGTCAACAACAGTGCATAAATGTCAGGGTGATGTATGATTTGAAAAGAAGGCTATTGGTGAAACACAATGATCAGAACAAAACACAGAGCCAGAACTTGGCATCATATGAGTCCTGTATGCCTTGAATTATTTGCAAGACAACCGGAATGTATTATTATACATTCCGGTGTTTTTTTGGTTCACTAGCTGTTTATTATAAATACGTATTTATTGACGATAAACCCAATACCCCAAAGCGCCTAAATGTTATCAACATTCTAATGCGCTGTATAAATATTGATTATTATTATATCGTAGACCTATTGCAAAATAACCTTAATTTAGTTGCGTTTACCTCTATGATTTAACAATGGGGTTCTTCTACCATTAGTCTCTAATCATGCACCAACTCTGCAACCCTTAAACTGTTAACATATCTATGACACAATTTTTACTTCCTTTGGGCTACTGTGTTAAATTTAGAAGAGCTACTAAGAATACCAATCTTGAGATTTTTATTTTCTTTTCTGTTTACAGGGTCTAATTTTAGATCGGAGTGGGGTAAACCTTAAATACCCATAGCACGCTTATGACTTCTTTGAAGCTCACAGTAAAGAATAAGACCACGAAAATGTTATTATTTTATTTTATACAGGTATAAAAATAATACAAAAGGTAGCCAAAGGCTAAATTATTGCATTTACAAAAATATAAAGGGCTTAATTACAAACAATGAAATTACACAAAAACATTAAAATACGCATTTACAAATTAAGAATGAATATTTACAAAATACATAAAAGATTACATTAAATATATAAAAATATAAATAAAAATAAAACTTCTGAAAAACCAACAATTTGGCACTATATGAGTCCGAAAGCCGGTGTGGCATTGGTCCCAAGGGCAAGACAGAGCAGGACCGGAGAGGATCAGGAATTGAGCAGCCAGGTAATATATGGAATTGGTGAATTCTGGTACCTTTTGGTACGGCAACGTTGTGAGGTGATAAGTGAATTATGTCTTAAGTTTTTGTTATTAGGATTTGATGGAGGAAGCATATGACGATGTCGATTTGATTGAAGCAATGATTCACTAAAATTATATACTAGGATTTCATGTCTAGATTTAAGTGTCATGATGTTGGTGATTTTCAGAGCTTCAGTATAGGACCACTGTTGATTTGAGATTCGAATTTTACCTAGAATAATCCTGACTGCTCTTTTCTGGACCCTCTCCAATCCGTCGGACTGCAGAACTGTCAGAGACGAATGCCACACCGGGCAGCAGTACTCAAGGATCGGCCGTATATAACAAGTATAAGCTTTAACCATAGAGAAAATAGAACAGAAGGAGTAACATCGACTTTATCGCTTATCTTTAATCCAATTAAACAGTCAGCTAGTGCCTATTAAATTGCACTACGGCCACACGCGGAGCTTATCACAGCACTATCTCTTTGTAC